GGATTCCCATAAAACTAGTCAGGAGTGGAACCTTGGACAACAGAAAGTGTCGTTTGGGGTCATGGGGTTGGGTGTTTTCAAGGTGTTTATGTTTATGTTGTCATATGTATAAACATATTTTAACAGATTATAATTGATAAGATTTAAGATTTTGCGATATGTTTTCCTTTTTTTGAATTTGGGCTCTAATAAAAAAGTATTTAACTTATGATCTTAATATTTTACTGTGACACCAATAAATTGCTGAACTAACTAATCCCACACTTACGTCTTATACCAAAATACGCCAATAAATTCAACACCTACTGCATGACACTCAAATCGAAAGTGAAAACCAAAATTATACTTATATGTGTCTCGATTATGTCTCCAATATCCATTCCCCTACCACCATATCTCACCCACTATCGTTGGCATTATTTGCTTTACTTTGCAAAAGTGTGTTTTTCCCCATGCCATCGATATTTATTTATGCGTTTGTGTGTTGCTGGTGTTGCATTTCACTAATTGAAAAACTGGGCGAAAGAGATGGGGCGATGACAAAGTTGGTTTCCAAGTTCATTGCTACCCTGTGGATCGCGGATCGGCGGATTTCTTTTCGCATTTGCGAATGAATTTCTTGCCGTTTGGGTTTCGGCCGGGTCGATGTGCATCCGTTTGCCAAGTTTCGCATTTCAATTGCCGCCAAACGAAAGTGAAAAGCGCAGCTTGACTGCAGCTTGACTTGGCCGAAGCCAGAGACAAATTCACTTTTTACCAAGGCGACTGCGCATGCGCGGCCAATTTACGGGCAAAAAAAACCGGGTCTAAGTCTCTTTGACATTTTTACATACATAGCTGCGGGTTAATGACTCCTCCAGGTGAACAGTGCACCCCCTACCGACCACCCCTCTGTCAAATGTCGGTGAAAGTCAAGCTGCAACGCTACAATTGTCCAAAAGAAAAGTTCGCCTTGCCATTGCTCTCCACAATTTATTTGTCTTTTGCTTTATTTTATTTTATTTTCTTCTTCGCTTTTCGCAGGCGCTTTTCGTTTTTCGTAGGCGGCTCTTGAACTTTTGCTCACTTCGAAAGTTTACTCTATTCGAATTTATTTTATTTTCATTTTATTTGATTTTCGTCCGATCGTGTTTATTTTTATTGGCACAATTATTTGTGCATTTTAGAAATTTATTAAGCGGCCAAAGACCTGAAAGTGAAAACCATCGTCAAAACGAAAGTAATACATTTTGTGTTTCTTGTTGCAATTTATTTGTAGGTAGCTTTTTTTGGGCATTTTTTGATACTTTTACTTTTGGCTAATTGCTTTGATAGTGATAGGCACTATACTGATGTAGATTTAACACAAAATATGTTGTGTGTATTAATAAAAAAGCGAAGCCATTAATAACCTGAAGTCTTTGTTCTTTCGTGATAGGGAATATTCCCAAATTGTGGCCGTCTTATTTTTTCTTGCTAAGTTATTTTTAAAAATTATGCGAATTACACACGCGCATTTATGGCAAAAATTAAACGTTCCCACGACTCGATCATTAACCCCCAAGAAGTTCAATAAATTAATGAAACCCAATAAAAGTGCAGGGCACCCAAAAACAAAACAAATTCGAGGATCAATGCACTCAACATATTCCTTAAAATTTAAATAAAAATTCTGTTTCGTTGAGAGGTCATTAATTTACAATCCCGCCAAAAGAATAACATTGCATAATCGACATTTTTGGCGGCAGTTGTCAATTCAATGAACTCCGTACGAAGGTGACTAAAAAACGCGCCCACTTTACAAGGTGTCTCCCGCATTTCGAGCTGACCTCAGTCGCGTTTTTTGAACTTGACGAAAATGTTGAATAAAATTTTTTATTCTTGACTTGATTAAACGATACATTGAACTGGCGCTAAAAAATAAGCAACAGAAAAACCTGTCCGAACATTTCCGCATTGAAGTTTGTAGGCAGAGCGAGAACGCTTCTCTCCTCCTCTCTTTCTCTCCTGCACGCGCGAAATTTTTTTATTGATTGAGCGAGAAAGAGAGAGCAGCAAAAATTTCAATGTCAAATTTTAATATAGTAGTCTTTTTTTTTACTCACACAGAACATTGCCAATATGGCCATATCTCTCTCCCTCTCTCTTCAGCGATCTTCCCTCTCGCTCGCTCTCGTATTAATAAATATTTTGAGCAGTCGAAATTTGGTTGTCTGCGTTTTTTTCTGGTATGCGAGTGTGTTTGCTAGGGGAGCTGCCATTTGTTTGGCTTATTTCTAGTATTTCTGATAGTGCACGTTCCACCTCTTCGCAGACACCCCCAAAACCGCTGCCCCTTTCCGTATCTGTGTGCGTGTGAAGTGAATGAAACTTTCAAGGTCGCCTCCTTGCGCTCGTATGTGTGAGCAGTGCGTATTAGATAATTCCCATAGATTATTCGGTTAGCTTAACATTTCACAGTGGCGAAATATTATTTGGAACTTATTTATAATGGGAGGTTTTAACATAAACAAATTGAGTCATCGTATGGCATAATACAGATCGTAAAACAATAGTAAAAAATAAAATATTGAAACTCAATTTTTAAAAAATTGCTAAGAGGTGTAACAAAAAAACATTTAACATGATTGAACAATGTTCGTTCCAAACTTAATTTCCAATTTTAAAGATAAGAAAAATTCAATTTTTTTAATGTTGTTTTTTGCTGATTCACTTAAATTGTGAATAAATAAAAAAAACCCATTATACATTATAGAATTCCCAAACAAAATTCTTGGCCCAACAAATTTATAAGTTTAGCAACGAACATAAATTAAGTTCAATCAGCCTGATTCAAGGTCTAGCCAACTAAAATCCCTAAACAATAGCTTTTGAGTTCGATCGACCTTAGTGAATTTCGAGTATCTTTATCACGGATAACTATCAACCACGCCCGCAAGCACCTACCAAGCCCCTTCCTCATACGCTTAATTATTACACCGAAAAAACAGAATTTCATTTAACAAGCTATTACACGTGTCGCCGATTAGCGAATGCCAAGTTCCCAAGGCGATGAGACAGCGATAGAGGAAGAGAAAGAGACGGCCAGACAGAGATAGGGAGGGGGCAGACAGAGAGGCCTCTCCACTGACCTTGCTGCCTTTTGTTTATAGAACACAAATTGGTAATCCATGAGCGAATCTATTACAAAAGCAAGATCTTGCCAAAAAAAAGAAACCTATATTTATATAAATCACAATGCCAATGACGTAAGCCATACGATTCCGAATCGGTTTCCGAATTAGGATAGAAAGAGCGGCCAAGTACGAGGGAGATGGGAACAGAACGTGGCATTCTTTATTCTCTCAACGCACCCAATGAAATATTTTTAAATGTGTGCCACGAAATTCCCCGAAAACAAATACAAAAAACAGCACAAAGGAAAACCGAACGACAACCATAATATTTTATTAAATAAAAACAACTTGGGATATTTCTGCCTCTTTTTTCAAGTTCAAATAAACATGACAGTTGGGAATGTTTTTCTTTTTTTTGTTTGTTAGTTTTCTTTCCTGATAAGAAGTTCAATTACGTCTGCTAGTCTTACAGATAGTTTTTTTTATCTGTGTCTATAAGGAAAAAAAGGCGTTTATGAATGTGATGTTTTGGTGTTTTGCTTCCTAGTTGTGAATCTGTTATGTGCCAGTAAATGATTAAGTATCTTGGAGAATAAAAGATTGCATCAAAAACGCTTTATGGGTTTTTAACGCATAGAAATAGAATGTTAATAAAATAAGTTGTTTTGAACTTTGAATTTTTTTGAACTTATGAACTCTTGAAACTTGAGCAACATAAATTTATTAAATTAACCAACATATTTAAATTAACTAAAAAAGTTATAAGCAACCACATTTGCAGTTTAATTAATTTGCAACATTTGAACACATATTACTAACCTACACTCTTGTTTACCACTTATATCTGCATATAAAGATCTTTCAGTCTGGAAACTTGAAGCGAATTCAGTCAGTGGCGTGCGAGAGATCAGTGCAAGACCCCTTTCCTCTGCTCAGCCTGCTTTGTTGTTGTCCAATGCAAAAGTGCAACGATCTGCAGTGCGAAATGTCAGTGAACTTGACGGCATTGCAACCGTATAGATGCTGGTTGTGTGTGTGTCTGGCACAGAAATAGCAAAAAGCAGATACAGATACAAGTTGCTCATGATCGTGATGGTCGTGACGATGATGATGGTCATGGCAGCGTGAAGATCATGAACATTGTTTGCCATTTACAATTGTTTACAAAGCGTGGCGTGTCTGATTGCCAGAGAAAAGGAGGAAGTACAGAAAGATATAAAAATCGAGAGAGAGGGAGAGGCCAAGAAGATCTTCTACCACTCAGAGAAAGACTTTCTTTGGAGAAAGAACCAAAGCAAACCTGTTCAAAGAAAGTCTTTCATTCAGTCGCCAGAACTTGTTTCCGCCCGAAAGAAAGTCTTTCTCTTCCGCTCTTTGTTAGTTCTTATGCTCTCTCTTGTTTACTTTCTTCTCGTTTGGTCGCCTTTTTTTTCTTGTTTACCTGGCGTGCCGGTGAAAGTTACGTAACATTTCTTTGGCCAAGAATGAGCTCAAGTTCAGCAACAAGTTATTTTTTGTTGTCTCGCCCATTTCGTTTTACTGCTTTCTTCGTCTTTGGCATTGCGCTGGCTTTATTTGAAGAAAGTATTACGTCGCCTTTGGTGGACTTTCTTCATATTGTTTTTGGTATTTGATAATGAAATGGAAGTGATAATGAAAGTTGTTAATTGCTTTCGTTTCGAGATGAAGGATTGTAAATTGATCACCATTAAATAAATACTTGAGACATTTATATATCTTACAATATGTTTTTTAAGTATTTCTACGATTGTGAAATTCCTTTTTCCCACTGCTGAAAATGTTTTCCACCAGCAGCTTACCAGGGGTAACCCCTATATATATTATTGATGTCCTTCTATGCTGTTTTCTGATTATTAATCTGACATTCTTATCTTTAATTTGCAGAATTCGATGGCACCACGGTGCTGTGCCGTGTTTGCGGGGACAAGGCCTCCGGTTTCCACTACGGTGTGCATTCCTGCGAGGGTTGCAAGGTAAGTTTTTGCACCAGATATCCTTCAAGGAGCAGAGGGGTTGTCTCTACTGCGGGGGTGGTAGGGCAAAAGTGTGCTCGCCACGTGCAACTTGATGCCCAACCACCAACTTTGGCTCTGACATTGAACTCAGTTGACCTCGTTGGCAGGAAAAAAAAGGGATCAGGAATAGCTTTAGCAGGGTTGTTTTTCCGTCTCTTTCGTCCTGTGTATCCCCCCTCTCTCCTTCTCCCTGTCAGCAACAGGCCCTTGCCCTTCACAAAAACCTGCGACGTCGTCTGGCGAATTGTCCTTGCATTAAATTGCGTCGCAATAAAATAAATCAAAATGTACAACAACACAAATCCTGAGCAAAACAAATGAGACACAAAAAAAATTAAAATAAAATAAAGCAACCACCAAACCAGAACGAAACCTTCAATGCTGCCTTTGTGGATGATTCTTTTCATCCTGCACTGGAAAATCAAATAAGGGATCAATACATTGCGATAATAATTGTATTGAAGGATACAAATTGGAAGTGCAACTTGAAATACGATAATATTCTGATTAATACCTCTGAAACCTTTTTTAATAGCTTATTTAAATTTAATTTAATCTACTGAAAACGCGTTTAAGAGTATGTTTATTAAGTATTTTGCTCAGTGTGTTTCTTGGGTTCCTGCTGCTTTTAGAGACTCTGTTGCCGCCCTTTGTCGTCTGTGACATTGAAAATGCAAGTTCATTCGCCCAAAGAGCTGAACCTCTGGACAGAGTCCAGTGATCGTTCCAGTGATTGTTCCCTTTCCAGAGATGAGGGTCTCGCATGACGGAATCTTAGTTAACTCGAGCTTTTCCTGTGGATCGTGTCACGCCACCATCACTATAGCCACTCTGCACAACCTTGGCAAAGCAGTTTGCCCTATTCCCTTATATTCGCCGGCACTCGGAGTTCGAGAAGCGAGTCGGGTTTAATGTCTCAATGACGTCCTTGAATTGGGTTAACAGCCAGTCGAGGTTCCTTCTCGTTCTCGCTGCCTCTTTTCATCTCCCGTCCCTTTCTTTTTGTCTGGCCCTTGGCGGTCCTTGTATTTGTTTTTGCATTTAAACTGTCTGCGCGTCTGAAATTTCAAACGTTGCAAAAATAATAACACAGTGATTGCTCGGAAATTGAAACTTGAAGAAAATCAAGGTTATCTGGGCAATCAGGAAAATTAAGTCTACATTAAAAAAATAACTATTAAGATGGTTTCTTAGTTATTTGTTTTATACAAAGCTTAAACTTTGTGGGGAAATGTAGTTCACCCTATTGTTTTTTGTAACTTAAAACTCCAGATAATTACAAGTTGACGAATGTCCACTGTATGTCCACATGAAAAACTCGAATTGATCTGCAGAGGAAGAAGCAGAAGTTCATTGACTTTGGACCAGTTTTTGTTTCGGCTTTTCGGGTTTCGTGGAACGTCTTTTGTTGTGTGCTAATTTATATGTTTATTATGTGAATGTAAATATATGTTTAACCGAATAGGTAGGCCTAAAAGTTTGTGTTTCCTTCGCGCTTTTTTGAAGTTCAAGGTTAGGCCAGGTTTGCCATCACCCTTCCTCTCACTCACGCGCACTATTCTTATCCCCCTCTTTCCCCTTTGAGGAATCGAGTTTCGCAGATTGCTCATACGCCGCGTGGTGCGGTGGCTCGTTTTTAGCTGATATTTCCGCCCTGGCCATTTGTGGCTACGATTTGTGACTTGCCTGCCTACCTGATCTGCTCGGTGGACCTTCGTCTTGTCTATTGACCTCTATTTCAGAGACAGATTCTTTGGTTTTATATCTTTTGAATTAGTTTTTTTTTGTGTTTTGAGCTTGACGAATGACTTCATTCGTAGCCAGAACTGAATCACTTGGCAACTGAAACTATATTCGGAACTCGTTTGTTTTAAGACGAGTTTTATATAGTTTAGAGCCGCTTAAGGGTTCTTGACGCTTATTAATTATTGTGGAATAGGTTTGACAATATACATGATGGATATTTATAGAACTTTTCGGCCTACAAGGAAGTTTAAGTTTCACATCTTAATATTGCTTGTTCAGTAATACTGTATCTTTTTTATATTATTCATTTATAAATTGAATTGTACTTTATCTTAATAGTGACAAAAAATGAATACTTTAAAATTAAAACTGCGCTAATTAGATAAGTAACCGTTCCTATAAAACTCTAATTTTTGAGGCAAATGGTTTATCTATGACTCAAATCTATTTCCCTCATTCCATTATCCTTAACCCAAACTAGTCGGTGCCTTTCACACATTTATTGCCTGCTGCCTTAATGACCCAATTCCCGATTTCGTAACTAAAAAAAAATTGTAGAAGGCAGGTGATATTATTTGTATTTTTTTGGAGGGACCACAACGAAGGAGCGTGTGAAGCGGAGACGAGGAGGAATAGTCAAATAGATGTTAATTTCCAATAAAATGCCGGGAGACTTTTCTTTGTGGTCAGCTTTCTTTATTTCTGATTCTGGAACTATTATCTAACGTGTTTGTTATTCTTTCCACATTATTTAACATATTTATTTATTTACGCACACTCATGCATACATTTGTATTATTTTTTGTTTTTTCTTATTTTCTTTCTTTTTTTCTGCCGCTCGTTGTGGCTCTCTTTTTTTCTCTCTTTACCATTTCGCTTCGGCAGTTGTTGTTTATGCTTCGTGTAGTTTTTCGTGCAAGTATCTGTGTGAGTGGCGCTGCAGTTGTGTGCGTGCAGCAAATGTGAATGAACTCGTTCAATGTCAAAGCAGAAACAGAAGCAGCGTACGCAGCATAGGGCTCGAGAAAGCAGGGGAGGGAGAGGCAGAGATGCAGAAAAAGAGAACGCTCTCTCACGCTCTCGTTTGCTCTCTCAGCGCCCTGGGAGATTTCCTATTGCATTTTATGAAGAGAGAGAAAAAGCCAGCAAAATGTGTTTTGATAGTAAATAGCCAAATATTTTCTTTCAGTAGTAAAATTTAAAAAAAATATATTTAAAATCTAATCCCCATTTCTTACTCGAGTGTCTGTAATTCTCCTCCCTATCATTTCTGCTCTATCTCTCTATTTCATTGTTCCTAACCTGCATCAATTCTAGAGCAATCAGATAATGATTCTAATATGAACAAACACCAAATGCGCTTGATAATCCCAAAAAAAGAAAGCAACGAAAGACAGTGGGATAACAAACTCCTAAAATAAACAGAAAAATTAATTTTGGGCTGGATTTATCAGTGGAGAAAATACTACATACCCATGTTTGCGCCGTTTCCAAGATTTTATCATGGGAGACCTTAATTCTCATTTTGCTTTCGAGGTTTTCCACTTGCCTGCACTTCAAATTGGAAAAGCAAGAGGAAAAGCCAGGAAAACTAGAGAGAGGGCGCGAGAGAGAGCCCCCAGAGAGAGCCCTAAATGTTGGGCTAGGACACACACTCACACAGAGACACAAAGGTTAACGCTCTGAAATGCACTTGAACGACTGACTGCAGTCGCAGTCGACGTCGGGAAGCGACGCCAACTGCGACGCAGCGTTGCATGAAATTGTCTAGGCGTTTGTGTGAATGTGTGAGTGAGCATGAGGTGTGGCAGAGGGGTGAGAATAGTAAGAAGAGAAAGAGGGGGAGGAGTTGCGATGAGGTGGCGATGGGGGTGGGCGGCACAATTCATTCGTATTTAGGTTGTGTATCTCCAGGGAAAAGTCTAGAAAATGCATTTCCTTTTCAATTTCATTTTAGAAAAAAAAAATTTGTTTTCAATATTTGGAAAATTTGTTATTAAAAAAAACAATTGTAAAATTATTATTGTTTATCAATAACTTTTTTGAATTAAGCACAATTAATTTGTTTTTTACAATAATGTAGTAGTAATAAAATAGTTGAGAGCAACTAAAAGATGTTTGATTCAATAATCAAGAAAATGCTTTCAGCACATTTAAAATAACTTTCAAAATATTGTCAGGAGTATTTTTTCCAAATGTTTAATAAAATAATTATAAAGTTAAAAATGTTCTTTATGTCGTTTTAAAAAAAGGTTGAACATATTTAGTAATTAAACTCATTTATTAAAACTGTGCTTAAATTCGGCTCTAGATTTTCCTCACATTTTCATTTTACAACTGGGAAAACACAACACACACACATTCATGATAAAGTTGCAATGCAAAAACACTCTCCCACTCTCTTTTTCGCTCTCATTGGCTTACGCATCGCTAGTGACGTTTTGTGCTCCGTTTTTTTTGCCCACAAAAAGTTCAATGCACCTTGCAAAATTTGGGTCAACAACCTCAGCCTAATTGGGTTACAGGCCAGCTCAGCGATAGATATACCTTCAGATAACATACCGATGATCTAGGTCTTTAGAGCAGTTCGAATACTATAAAAATACTATTTTAACGCTGCAGTACATAAATCCATATATAAGAAAAAATAATGTTAAGGCCTAACGAAGTTTTCAAAAAAAGCATGAAAAATTCGCTGACAGATCTGTAACATGTATTTGACATGGCGACCACACATAATTTTACATGGCCTTCTACATAAATTTATTAGCGCCACCTAGCGTTTGGTGTCTACCATGCGATCGAGCAGTGTGCTTTTTTCTGAAGCACAAAAGTATGCAACGTAATACTGTAGATTGGTTGCGATTGTAGCAGCGAGCTTTTGAGAGCGAATAAGTAGAGCATTGATATGAAAAAGCTCAAAAAAAAATACATAAATATAAATAAATCCAATGAATGGTAACTATGGAACAAATTTAAATAAGCAAGTAAGCATTCATAGAAATACAATTTAAACATTCCAAGAATACAGGAGCACATTTAAAATGGTCATTAAAAAGCAAATGACTAAATATTCCACCAGTAATAATGCTCGCTGTTCAGCCAAGGACAAATCGAATTCGTTTATGTGTTCCAGCGAATGAGTAATTAGTGCTGAAGGCAGAATCTAATGGCGAACAAATTAATGGCACTGCCACGCCCACCAAGGCGGC